AAATTTTTTTTTTTTTTTTTTTTTTGATGAAAAGACATTTTATTATTATTTTGCTATATAACGTATTTGTGAATATAACTGATTGTATTTTTGTGACTACACCTGATTGCATTTTCTCAAATAGCAAATGAGACCCAGGACAACATCTCTCTTTGGTTACTGAAAACCTCAGTATCACCTGCCTTTTGGAGGATTCAGTTTCTTACAACGTCTATGATGCTGTCCACGAGGATACCAAGGGTGCTCAGTAGTAAAGAACATTTTGCTGAGTTTTTCTATCAAGGCGTCTTTGCTCAAAGTGTTCATCATTAATGGATGTCCTGTGCTCCACGGTTATGCACAGGGCCTGGCCGAGGGACAGATGTGCTCATGTGGAATGTGCACGGAAGGATGGCAGCGAACTGTCGTCCGGCCGTCGGATATCTAAGCAGGCTGTGCTTTGCAGTCACGGTCATCTGGAAGAGCAGATTGCGGGGATTTATGACAAACGCAACATAAAGCTCCGTTTTGAATTGGAAATAAGTGCTTCAAGATAGCTCTGTTTGATAACGCCCATTTTATAGCTGCCACTGCCGTGGAGAATCAAGATGCTTACAGGTGGTATGGAAGCGATGCTTCCAAGAGGGTATGTTTTTGAAATTTGCTCCTAAGCTCACCTGTTTTCATCCCCTGGCAGCTGCTCTCTGCTAGTCCACCACTTTGCCTCAGTCTCAAAGGTTTTCCCCTCGCCTGATCTCTTCATGAATGTCCATTAATTAATTCTATTTTATTAGATGATCCCTGAGGCCTATTCTAACTGAAATTTTCATAATTCTAAAGAGCATATCGCTAGTCTCATCTATGTTTATATTTTTTCAGGTTAGTGGGAGACATTCTGCCTCCGTTTCTGTTTAAAGCTGTGTACTTAATCCTTAACAATTCCAGGTAGGGTGATGCTTTCATGACTGAATGGAACAATTTATTCACTTATCCGTTCATTCATTCATTCCTTTGCTGGAGTTTGGGGGTCGATCCTGGGAAGAACCTGAGTGATATCACTTTGCTGCCTCTGAGAAGGCAAAGGTTTGCAAAAACTATGTTTGTTATCTTTGCTCCAGCAATCTAGCTTTATTCAACCCTAACAAGAGGCAACAGAGCAGAATTAAAAGAAAGCACCAGGTGTAGGGCCTCTTGTAGAAAAGCTGCCATCACAACTGGAGGGTGAGTGAATTAATGACTTTAAAGTAGTCAAACTTAATTGCATGGAGTGCGACCACTAGTCCATCCATTGCAATTTTGAAGTGGAAGATGATTTTTTTAAAAACACCCTTTCAGACACTATTGAGGAAAATGCTACAGAAATTAAAGTGTGCTCACTCCGGTTCCTGAAGATCACAGAAGGCAGTGTCGTCTGAAGCACAGATGCCATATCTTTGCCCCTTTCCTTCCTTTATGACCCCAATTTTAAAAAAAACAAAACCAAAAAACAAACCCAGAGAAAAGTCAAGCTGGGCCGATGCCAGTTACATTTGACATGAAGGTCTTTTGGGGACATTTTTTCAGTGGAGGTGGTGGGAGTAGGGCGAGGTGTGGTATAGATGAATGGTAACCCTAATACAAGGTCTGAGGGGAGTCTTTTGAGAACTGAGGTGCCTTGGGCCAATGCTTCCAACCTCTAGAGGGAAGGGAAGCTATGTAAATATTGCCTGGTTAAATTCTGGTCTGCTGTGTCATTATGAGGATCCTTTTACCTTCCTCTTTGGCAAACGGGGAACAGAGAGGTCCCAGAAAGAGCATGGCCACTCAGCATTACTTCAATGCGTTTCACAGCTGGATACAAACAATGTCCCTTTTAACACAATAAACACCAGGGACTTGCTGCCTGGTGAGCTCCTCCAAGGGAACCTGGTTTCCCTAGATAAGACATCAAAAGTGGAGGCTATGTTTTCAAGTTCTTGGTGCATGTTTGTAAAGGAGACTCTGCGAAGTAAGGTGTCCCCCGGATTTTTGGCTGAGGAAAAGGGAGACATAGATTTATTTCAACTCTTATTTTTTTCTTCTTAGAATTTCAGACTCGTGAGTGGCACTTAGAGGAGCGGAGTGTTTGACTCTGAAATTCTCACTGCTTCACAATGATTGATAATGTGGAGATGGAAAGAGCAGGATGTTATATTTCACTCTCCGTGCAGCCTGCTGCTGCTTTGGGTGAGGATTTTGGTTCTATTTTGTAAAAATTGAGAAGAGGAGGGGTGGAATGGGGTGGACCTTGAAGATACAGCGTTCTCATGCAAGTGGGTAATGCCCCCTCCACCCCCATCACTCATCCCCAGGTTCTGACCAGGTTGGGGTTGGCCTGTGTGGCTGCCAGAGCACCTTGATTTTATTTTATTATTTTATTTTATTATTTTGTTTTATTTTATTATTCTTTTTTTTTTTTTTTTGCTTTAAATTTTAAAATTTTATTTTTGTTTAAAATATTACAGATGTCCCTTTTTCTCCCTAATGCACCTTGATTTTAAATGGAGCTAGTCCCACGTGTCCTTTACGACCTCGGCTAGCCACCTTTGCTGGCTGTCTTGTCTTTTTGAGGATCCTAGTCTTTACTTTCTACTAAGCTTTTGATATAAGTGGTACCAGCAGTGTAAAATCAGAACTGAGGGAGGAGCGTTGCCATGGAAATTTCACAGGTCAGCTGAGTCAAGTGGGTACCGAGACTTCATCGGCTCGCTTGGGGAACCAGAGACTCCAGCCTTTTTCACAGCACCCCCGGGTGACGCCAGGGTGCAGCCAAGGTGGAGAGTGCAATTCTCCTAATTCGTTCAGGATTTCCCAAGGCAGAATACAGCACTCATAGCGAAAATTCAGCAGCCTATTTGGAGTGGTTTCCTTGCAAGGACTGACAGGGGTGGATGATCGTGGTTTTCAGTTGGGGAGATCTTTGGACTGGGGACCAAGCTGAGCTTTGGCCTGCAGCTCTCGGGAGAAACCGGCCGTGGCGGTGGGGCCCAGAGCCCTGCGAGATAAGCACTTGCAGTCGTGAGCGCTTATCTCCTCCTGTATCTGGCCTTCTTGCATTTATAGAGTAAATCGGGAAATCTCACCGCAGCAGGCTTTCCTGTGAGGAGGCTGGCATTTCCTGCCTGCCCACTGGGCAGGAATGGAGGGGACACACTGCCTGGGGCTTCTCATTTCAGCTCCTGCACAGCTGCGGGGAGGAAAGTGGGCGCCCACCAAGGTCAGCAACTGTGTGGGTTAGAGCCAAGGGCGTGATTACTTGCCAGATACACTTTCCATACAGCTTCTTATACATAAAATAAAAATAATCCACAGTTCTTTTGTAAAAAAATATGTTTGTATTGATTTCAGAGAAGAAGGGAGAGGGAGAGACATAGAAACATCAGTGATGAGTCATTGATCGCTGCCTCCTGCACGCCCCCTACTGGGGATCCAGCCTGAGACTCAGGCAGATGGTCCAACAGGGAATCCAACTGTGACTTTCCTGGTTCATGGGTCTGCGCTCAACCACTGAGCACCCCAGCCAGGCCAAAGTTCCCTCTTTAAATAAACACACACACATGCACATATACACAGTGCATGAGTCCTCAGCTGACGTTAATTGATAAAACTGATATGCTTCTGACCAACTACCACTAAATTGATTACATTAGAATTAGGTCACATTTTAATGTTCCTGGGACACAGTATAAATTTCACGGTTTAGCATTTTTTAAATAGTGTGATCAGATAATGCTTTTGTAAAGAGAACTGCTTCTCCCCACCTCCCACATTTATCTTTAGGGTAAATTTTATTCCAATTTTAATACATGTGCTGTTGAAAAGGTCATCCATGCTAATAAAAGCTTTGACATATGGATGTACGTACAAAACCTTATCTTGTTCTACTATTATAATATTATAATATTTATATGATATATTCATGCAGCACTTAGAGTCATATGTGATCGGAAACGACCCTAGAGGAATCCATGCTCGGTTTCCAGATGAAGAAACAGAATCTGAAACAGAAATTACTTTTTTTTCATGGTAAGTCTTAAGTGTGTTATTCCATTAAGTGACACGATTATGGCTATCACCATCTTTTACTTGGTGAAACGGAGCCACATGTGAGAAACCCGAGTCTCCTAGAATCATCTTTTATACATTATCTAAGTAATGTGTTTTAGACATCACCTAAGTAATTATATAAGTAATTTGTCAAACTTTGCCAGGTGAGCCACAGGGCCTGGCTGGAACCCAGGTCTTTTAACTTCTGGTCTCATATTTCCTTGTTGAACTTCTATCAACACATCCCACCAAACAGGCTAACTTTCCATCTCCTTTGGGTGGTGGTGGGGTTGTTCACTAACAAGGCCACTTCACTGATTTCGTAACTCCCCTCTCTCTTTCCATGTTTAAATACTCAACACTGCTTTCCATGTCCCTTCTTTTCATCCCACAGGAAGAAGAGGTACAAAGACTGTAGAGAGTCCACCCAGCTCCCAGAATGCTACCATATTTTATAACCATGGTAGGTACTCTTATCGAAACTTAGCATTAGCACAATACTATGAACTAAACCACAGACGGTTCAGAGTTCATTGGTTTTCCTGCAATGTCCTTATTTTGTCACAGGGTCCAGTGCAGGACCCCACCTTGCATTTAATTGTCAGATCTCCCCGGTCTCCTCCACCTGTAGCGGTTCCTCAGCTTTGCTCATGACTAGGTGGAGGCTTTGTATTCGGGAAGGATGCACAGGGTCATGTGCCTTTTGTCACACATCCCTCCAGAGGGCCCGTGACGTCGGTGTCTTATTACTACTGGTGATGTTGACCCTGTGCTTTTGGTCAGAGTGGTGTTGGCCAAGGTACTACACTGTAAAATTACTATTTTCCCCCCTTTGAAATGAACAGGAATTTAGGGGGAGCTACTTTGCAAGTAAGAAGCATTTGGGGGGAAATACTTTGAGGCAATGCAAATGTCCTGCTTCTCTTTGTTCTATTGCTCAATAATTTTAGCGCCCATTTGGTGGATTTCGCCATGAGCAGTAAGTATTGTGGTGCTTTAATGGCGATTTCACTCCTCCCTTCTACATGTAAATTGAAATTATTTTGTAAGAAAGAGCTGTCCCTGGTATCTCTCTCTTTACCCTTAGAACACCAGTCATACCAGATTAGGGTCCCTCTCTATGACCTCGTTCAACCTCAGTTACCTCTTTAAAGGCCCTATCTTCAAATACAGTCACATTTTTAAATGCCGATACCTCTGAAGGCAGCCCAGTATCACAGGCTTCATTGCAGCATTTCCTCTCTGCTTATTTGTACCAACAGTGAGAAATCTGGCGCTCATTACGTACAATGTATTTATTTATTTGTTCAACCACAGTACCCCTATGAAGCTCTGTCAGAACTGCTAATCCATACGCTTTGGGGAAACAAAGCCACCAGTGCTCACGCATGGTTCTCCTCATTTTCAGCCTTACTATCTGGTCAATGCACTGTTTTCCAAAGTTACTCACGTCACCTTTTTTCTCAGCCCTCCAGTGTGGTTGTCATTCATTTCTAAGCAGGTGGACTCAATTGCCATGGTTGCATTCCATCTTGGGTCTCCCGATTTCAGGGGTTGAGTATTAAAATTTATAAATAGTACGATCCATTCTTTGTGGTGCTCAGTTCTGTGTCTTTGACAAATGTACGGCATCACCGCAGTGCTTACAGCAGTCCATCACCCCCAATTCTCTTGTGCTACCCCAGCCCCTGACAGCCACTGGGATAGGCTTTCCACCCCCAGAATTTTGCCTGTTTCACAGTCTCATAAATGGACTCACACAGTATGTAGGCTTTGGGTGTAGCTTAGAAAAATGCATTTAAGATTCATTTACGTTGTTGTTAATAGCTTGTTCCTTTTCATTGCCGAATAGTATGCCATTGCTGAGTAGTGCTGACTGTACAAATGAACCACATTTTATCCATTCACAGGCTGAATGACGTCTAGGTGGTCTCCAGTTTTTGGTGGATATGAATAAAGCTATAAATGTTTGTATACAGCTGTTTGGTAAGTTTTCAGTTTGCTTGGTAAATACCGAGGAGTGGCATTTCTGAGCTTTGTGGCAAGTGAACGTTTAGCTTTATAAGAAGCTGCCAAATGATTTTCCAAAGTGGCTGTGCCAGTTTGCTTCCCCACCAGCAGGTCTGACAGCTCCACTTGCTCCGAACACTTCCCAGCACTTGGTTTTAATTTGCATTCCCCTAATGGCTAATGATGCCAAATGCTCCCCATGTGTGTGCTTGCACCCATACATCTTCTTTGGTGAAGTGTTTTTTCATATCTTTTGTCCAGTACTTTATCATTTCATTCTTGTTGTTGAGTTTTGAGAGCTCTTTATATATTCTGGAAACACATTCTTCATCAGATTTACATTTGCAGATGTTTTCTTCCATTTTCTGGCTTGTCTTCCGATTTTCTCAACAGTGTCTTTCTTGAAGCAAAACTTAAATGTTGATAAAGTCCAATTTATATATATATATATATTGATGAGTCTTGCTTTTATTGTCATATCTAAAAACTCTTTGCCATACCCAAAGTCACACAGATATACTCCTGTGTTTTCCTCTAGAAGTTTGATAGTTTTACTTCTTACAAGTAAAGACTATGACCCATTTTAAATTATTTTTTGTGTAAGCTGTGAGGTATATGTAGTTGTCCATTATGGAATGTCTTAAATTTATTTCACATATTGACATCTAAATGCTTTAGCATCCTTTAATGAAAAACTTTATTGACATGACTTTGTACCTATGTCAGACATCAGTTGACACTCTCTGTGTGTCTATTTGTGAGTTTTCCATTCTGTTCCACTGATCTATTTGTCTAACCCTTCGCTAATACCACATTGTCTTGACAGTAGCTTTATGGTAAGTCTTGACATCATAGTGTGAGTACGGTGACTTTGCTCTTTTTCAGGATTGTTCTTAGCTATTCCAGTACCTGTGTCTTCCATGTAAATTCTAGAATCATCTTGATATCTGAAAAAGTCTGTTGTGTTTGATTGAGATTGTGTTGAATCTATAGATAAAAAGAAGGGAACTGACATCTGAACAATATTGAGAAACATAGAAATTTGAGTGCAACCTTTAAAGAATTTGCATTTACAGCACTGCTGTTTATTGCTGAATCTGACCTTACCGTGCTCAAGTTTGTCACTAGTGGCTGAGTCTCAAATACCAATACTTAATATCACATAAAAGCTTCAGTACTGAGATACAAAATATAAACATAAAGGTATCCTAGATTATTGAATGATTATGGTTAATCCATTTCTAAAATGAGATGTGAACAATCGTGCAATGCTGGACACACACAGAAACTTATTTGTGCCTATATTTTGATTATATTTGTAACTAAGAAAAAAGAAACCTCTCCTATTTTTCCGTTGAACAACTCCTTGAGAAAGAAAGATAAATTTAAGACTAGAAATTTAAGACTATATTAAAGGCTCAAAAACTTGACTAACAGTGCTATCAAGTATAATTTAGTAATTACTATTAAACTACCATCACTAACAGTGCAATGAGGCAATATAGTGTGTGGTTAAGATTTTAGCTTGGGTCACGTAGACTTAAATCTGTGTAATGGCTGTGCTATGAACTGGCTGCACGGCCTTGACCAGTTACTTAACTTCCCAAAGCCTCAGTTTCCCCTTCATTAAAGTAAGTATAACAACAGCAACGGGTTTTATATATCAAAGGGTATTAATAAAGATTAAGTTATTTATGTATTGAACTACTTAGCTCGGTGCCTGAAACTCAATTCTCAATAAATATTAGCTATATAAATACATAGCTTTTTATCTTAAATGCTACAAATATTTTTTATTATAATTGATGAATCTTGGCTATACCAAATGCTAAAGAATGTAGCAGCTGTAGTTGCCAAAGTATACCTAGACTGAAATGTAGTAACATGCCAGAAACACCTCTAATTTTAAAAAAATCCCTAAACTACTTCCATTGAAATCAGTCTATATTTAAGGGACGTTTTCAGAAATTGTCATTTATCAGAAAAATCCAAAGTATAAGTGACTGGCTGCTGGCTTATTTTTAAGCAGAGCCAGGGGGCAGCAATGTAAGAAAACTCAGTTTCAGGAGCGCGTGCGCACACACACACACACACACACACACACACACACACACGCATGTTGTGATGGGTTGAAAAGTCAGTTGTGTGTGGCTCTAGGAATTCATCTAGTTCAGTTTATAAGCAACCTTGTCATGCTACTCAGAAAAGCCCCTTCCTCTCTCATTCCTCTTGCTCGATCGTAGAAAAAGCTGCCTCCCCTGAGCCCGGATCTTCATCATTCAGGTGTATGTGTGTCACCTTACCCTTTCCATATCTGTGCAACATTTCATCAAAGGCAGCAGCAGCCAGAGGAAAGAATCTCTGAATGTCAGGTGTTGGGAGACAGGCTCCATCACCAGATCCATACTATGCCAGGGTCGGTGAACACTGGGGACCACAGGGGGGGATTTGCATTCAGAGCTTCTCGTTTGGTCGGGAGCGAGGCTGAGTTCTGTGCATTCCTGGCCCCCGTGGAGTCTGTGTATCAGGAAGCTCAGGGCACCCCTTTTTTAAAGGTGCCTGGGCAGCAGCCTCTCGTGGGGACCCGGACACAGGCTCGCAGGAGTCGGGGAAAGGCAGGGGCCTTCTGAGCCCTGGAGGGTTTGTGCAGATGCAAACTCAGCTGGGGGCTTTGGGACCTGGAAGAG